ATTCTGAACGGTTTCCGAAGCATTAATCCCGAAGCTACAGACCGTTAGTCTACAGGAAACGGATGTTCTGGTGCTCTGTGTTGTAGTCCTATTGTTCAGTTACACTGAAGGACACACCACAGACTACAGCCCGTACGAGACAGGTCCTCACCACCACACGATGGAACATTTGACGATCAATCCGAGGGCGTTATCATCGGATCACCACTTGCTTCTGTAATAGCCAGTTACACTGTGCAATAATTATAACAACGAATGAGAAGTTGGCGCCGAAGAAGCCAGTGCACGTCAGCGGCACATCCGTTGTATGGCCTCATGGAAAGGAAGAGCTCCAGGGATATGTAACAGCATCCATCCGAAAATGAAGTTTACGATGGAGGTAGAACAACGCAGGCATTGTTCGATAGAGCTTCTTAGTCAGCTTTCTGGTTGGTTCTTTATGTCCAGTCGCGTGATATCCATGAAGACGTGGACGGAGATGGTTGTCGAAACGTTGGTTTCTTTTTATAACTTGAAGCTGCTGATGGCCCAAGAGGATTTTATTGAGTGTGTACTGAGCCTACGGCATAGACTTGTTAGGATCATTAAGCCTTTTGGTGTTGTATTTTATTCACTATTCACCCATAAGTCAATATTTACAGATTCAGGATTTGCAGTGCTTTATCGCCCTTCCTTGCGCCCTCTATCACGCGTGCACACACAGATTATATATACATGGAATGGTATAGCTCATTTAGCAGAGTGCGTCCAGTCCACACCATTGTCCAGGAGATACTGGAACGGGGGAGGGGGGGTTCCTCTGTGTAATGTAACCGGAACGTAAAGTAGAACGTTCACCTACATCCGCTTTGAAGATGGTGGCGCTGTGTTTATCCGAAACATTGATAATTACCGTCCATTTTTGTAGAATACGTGGAGGGTAAAAGTTGTCTCTGATTCTTAACCAAGCATCACGTCATGAATACATGTGGGGAATGGAGGTATATGTCCACACTTTCTTGACGTCGGTACTGAGTGGAATTGTATGGAATTGCTGGCCAAGAGGGGAGGAGGAGTGCGAAGAGAAAAGACAGTTCTTCTGAGAGAGGCTTTTAAGTGTCGTGGAACTGCTAGTCAAAATAAACAAGACAGAGGCGGTGCGTCTTCAAAGTGTTTGTTGCACCGTGGAAGTGAATTATAATCTACTCGGGAATGTTTCGCCAACCTCTGCTTCTTGTAGCTCCCTAATAACATTCCGTACAGCAAAAAACCTTGGGCTGTGCCTTGGTTATTCGGTGCAGTGGTTCAATTACACTTAGTTTCAGTACCTTCCATTGCGAAACCAAGTGGAAGAGAAAATCTTACAGAGCCATTTTAAGACCTAAGATGCGAACGTTTCTTCGTGTTATATTTTTATTTTATTTTTGAAATGTGAGAAGGCGTAGTCTGTCGGGAGGTTTAACGTTAGTGTGTGTTTATGTTACGTCTTCCGAAAATACAAACTAGAGTGTAAATTGACTTGTAAGCTTGCTTTATCAGGTCAACTTTATGTATCGTATTCTAATTGATTTTAAGTAGGTTATCCGATAATACAGTTACGTGTTTAACAGTTTCCATGCTATGCACGATATGTCTTGCTTAAGAACACCGTGTTCTGGATTGGTTTAGCTTTTCAGATCCGTAGAAGAAACGTGTCGAGCTATCTGTCTGCGGAAGTAACTGTTCGTGACTTATGAACACAAGAAACTGCACGCTAGTATGGACATAGGGCTACAGAGGAAGACATTTGCTAACCATGAAACCATCATGGAAAGTACTAATTACAAATAGTACTTTGATATTAATTAATGACAATGTAGTCAGTAGGATTATGAGGTTTTCACGGCGGTGAGTATGAAGATTGCTGTCTTCTGGGTTGTTGCGCTGTGTAGTCTGGTCGATGTTAATCAACGTTTCAGAGGTCATACTGCCTCCATCATCAGAGCGATTTGCCCTGATGATGGAGCCAGCAGGCTGCACGGTGCAACAACCCAGAAGACAGCCATCTTCACAATTAAGTCAGATTGTTGTTGTCTGTTCCTTCTTTGCCATTGCAACGTAAAGATACAGAACTTTGTATTTGATGTTTTGTTTGTTTAAATCATGTTGCTGTTTCATTTCAATATGTTTCAAAGTTACTATTAAGTTTGATTTTGTCAAAATTCAATTACTAGTTATATTTAACTATTTTCCACATAACAGTATTAAAACTTATACGCAACTTGTTTGCTCTTATTTTTTAAAACTTCATTATCGATGTATTTATTTTAAATATTTGCGTAATTTATCCTTAATTCTGTATTTTGTAATTATGCATTTCGTATGTTTCTGTCTCATTGTAAACAGCATTAATCTTTTAATTTTTTATGATGAATAATTGTTTTCTTTGCGGTACGGACTGAATTCGTAAAAAAATTCTTAACCTTCGGTTTTAAAGGGTTAACATGAATTATTATACTGTAAACCACGCTGAAACAACCTGCATGATCCAACTAGTTGTCATGTGACTTCAGAGTCGACCTCGACAAATATATATTCAGTGAACATTCCAAAATTTTCTCCATCCTCTCAATTTTTCATTCTTTTCTTTTTATCATCCTTTTATCTCCCTCTTCTTCAAGGCTTTAATTACCCCAAGCATCTGTGTGTGTCTGTGTCTCGTGAAAAGAGGTAAAGTGGAAGGGGAAAGGGGTTAGGATGCCAGCAGGGTTGCCAGATGAAGTAGGCTGTGCGCACTAACCCATCAACGATGATGACGTACAATCTGGCAACATGCTGGTTCAGAATGAAACGTTCGCCATCTGCATAATGCGAGAGAATTAAAAGAGAGAAATCGCTGCAACACGCAAAAGATCGTTAGCCATAATAGAGAGAAAGAGAGATGTTATAGATTCCACATGTAACGCCAGGAAAAGAGGACCTCTCGAATTATTTCCCTCACACACATTTTCAACAGCGTGATGAAAAATACATATGGGCCCGAAATAATTTATTTTCTGTGGTAAGAATGGCTACCATATTGTCAAAACCAGATGTGAACATGTGACGCGTGTGTGTGAAGTACGTGCGAAGAAATGTAGATAAATTATATGACACACGAAAAGTAAAAGAAAAGATTGGTGCTTTGCGAAAGTGACGCAGAAGAGGAAAGGATTTCGGATGCAACCAAAGAAACGAAGGAAACAACAGGAAAATTGTTGGGGAAACACTTGGATTAGTAAATAAACATGAAACATTACGAATGTTTTTACAATATTGTATGTGCGTATGACAAATCATGGTATTATTTTCGAAAGGTGTAATGTTTATCATGTTCTGAAATCAATGAAAAGATGTATTAAACAAAAATAATACTTTAACTCTTTAAAGGAATAGTTAATAACTTACAACCCATCGTTCTTGATCTTCTGGGCTGATAACGCCGACCGTGTAGACTTGAAGGTAACTACCAGCGCTTTTGATAAAAGTACAGCCTCCATTTAACCCTGAAGATGATGGCTGTGCGTTTATCCGAAGCGTTGGTATGTATATACTTACAAGCCCACACGGAGTTACGACCCAGAAGACCAACGTCAATATGAAGATGGCTGTCTTCTGGGACGTTGAGTCTTGTAATCTGGTAGACTTGTTTCAAACGAAGAGTGCTGAAACGTCGATAAAATTCCACTAGATTACACGGCGCAACAACCCAGAAGATAATCTTTACCGCCGTGAGAACCTCAAACCCCAACTGAGGTAGCATTGAGAGGGGTGGATTTTGCTGCCGATAGGAATGGTAGTGAAAAAGTTTATGATGGACAGCGCAGGGAACCCACAGCTTGACGTGAAATTAGGGCAACGGTGAGTGGGGGGCGGGGGGGGGGAGGATGGTATTCAGAACAGCAAAGCTTTCTTAGAGATGAAGAAGTGGAAGACATGTGGAAAAGTCTGAACTGTATTTGATTTTTTAAACCAGAGGTCTTGTACCTTCTTAATTAATTTAAAGGTCAATGAAGTATTTAAAATCGCAATCATTCAGAAATTATGTGTATTTTAGAAGGCCATAGGACTTACAACACTTGTTTATTAAGACAGTAGATAGAGTCCAGACAGAATACTTCCGTTTCAATGCTATACCAATGTTACGAAGATTTTGAACGTCATTGGATGATCAATTTACGTCTGCTTAGTTTTGCCCTTCTTGTTTCTTAGGTTGTGCTGACTGACTACTCACCTGGCTGAAGTCAGGATTACGTTATATTCCCCAAGAGAAATAGTTAAGCTCCGCGTGTATTCTGTCCTTGTCGGATTGAGTTTCCAATTAACAGCAGTCTGATCTTCACTTGCCGTGTTTGCGTAACTTTAAGATTCTGTTATGTAAAGTCTCTGCCTTACTCGCTCGGGAAATGAGTAGAGCCGGAAATTTTATGAACATCGATCCTCTGAATTCACCGTAAATGGTACACCAGGCAAACAAGTATGAAAAAGGTTACACTCTCTAACGATTGCCCCTAAATACATGTTTTATAATTAAAAGTTAAGTAATATGTTGATGTTCGTCTTCTGGGTTGTGACGCCTGAAGATGGATACAGTATGTTTCTCCGAAACGTTGGTATCTGCATATAAGACGAGATGGCGTCACAGCCAGAAACGTCTTCACCGTCATGAGAACCTCAGGTCTTACGCGGTTAAATATGGCAGCCGTCACGAAATTGCATGCTTGAAGGTCATTGTAAAATTGTACAGCGTTGCAACACGAACCTCGGAGCACAGGCGAGTGAAGTTAGCTCACAACTCGCAATGTAGCGAGGCTAACAACGCTGTACTGTTTACGTATCCTAGTGGGAAGTGAGGTTGAGGTTCTAGGTGGGGGATTTATTTTCCGAGCTTCTCAGGACGGACTCTCCTGCGTGTAGTTAATCCGTGATGCAATAGAGGCGGGGTTAAACATCGGCATATCAAAGTAAGTTTTAGTAACATTGCATTTTTGTTTGTTTCGTAGATCCACCAGAGATCATTGTGCGACCAGTGGATCAGCAGGTAAAGAATGGAGGCATTGCTGCATTTTACTGCCAGGCAAGAGGAGATCCTTCGCCTGTTCTGCAATGGAGAAAGAATGGCAAGAGAGTGTCCGGTACACAGTCACGCTACTTAGTTCACGAGTATCCCGTGGGAGGCGCTCTTCTGCGCATTGAACCCGTGCGCGCGCAACGTGATGAGGCCCAATACGAATGCGTTGCAGAGAATGGAGTGGGGGATGCTGTCGCCGCTGATGCCATGTTGACAGTCTACGACAGTAAGTACTTGGATTGTTTGTATATTCAGTTCTGTTGGTGCAAGAATTTGGCAACAGGGCGCTCGCCACAATATTGTAGAATATAAACAAAATTTCCTATTGTAGAAAGTTTTACGTGTGCTTGGTCAGCCTCCTGATTTTTAGGTACAGGCATTCTTGTAACAAGGCACGGAATGTGCGTTGCAAGGGGGCCATTGGACTATTTCACATTAAGAATATTTTCAGTACCAGAGAAGATCTGTTTTTGACCATGCACTGGTGACTTCGATGGGCCCCAAAGTGTCCTTAAATAGTGGAGAAGGGAGACATCCGTATGTATCCATCGCAAATGGTGCTTGTCATGATTGAGAATTTATGCTGTGGGAAACCTGTACAGATTTTACAGTTTTTACCTTTGTTTTCTCCAAATGTCTTTTTGTATTTGTGTTTTATTATTCTGTGTTATTATTATTTGCATATACTGTGTTCCTTGTCTCGTTAGGGTTTAGAGAAAACTAACCAGAAGAAAGTTATGCTCTGGGGTGGGAAGTATTGGGTAGGCCAGCTGTGTGCTTCTCTGCCGATTTCGGTATGGTCATAAGGAGCAAAGCCAACCCACACGTGTTGCCAAGTATATTCTTCTGGTTGAGTGGGATTGTTCAGGTTAGATTCACTGTGGTTAAACAGAAAAACGTGGTCATACTGCTGCCAAGCTGCAACTAAATACAGGTTGAAGGCTGTTCCCCCCCCCCCCCCCCCACTATTGTGAGCACGTCTCGGCGAAGGTCAAGCTTCATAAGAGAAGAAACGAGGTATAACTGTAAGAGTGTATGTTAATCTTTTATCCCATGCACAAGTATGGAGATATTCAAACCCTTCAGTTTTGTTGACCGTTACAAATACACGCGTTTGTGGTCAGCCAGCTTGAGGTACGGGGATGGAGGGTAAGCGATAAGAGCATGAGTTGTCTTGCTCACCCCTTCACCTCTGACTGTGACGTAGCTGAGGCTCTAAAATATTTTGCGCCATTATACTCAAGTCAAACGCGTGGTCCGACGTGAAGTCCTGATGACAGAGTTTTGTGTTGTGCTGTAACGTACTCTGCGTACCTTCAATTTGTACAAAGTTTAATCTACTCTGACGAAAGTGGTTTCATTACACAGAAAGTTAAAGTATTAAGGATTGTGTTTGCATATCTCATCGCACCATGCTCCACGCATTTCACCTTCCTGATTTGATTACTTTAATAATATTTGGTGAAGAGTAGCTGAAACTTTGAATCATTTCATTGCGTGGTTTTCTGCAGTTTCCTGTTGATACATTGCTGTTAGGTCCAAATGCTGTAGACTTGTTCATAGAAGTATATTATACCATAGAAACATTCAGTTTCTTGTATTACACAGCATCAGAACAGCGCAACAATTGTCGACACCCCAGGGAGTTTGTGGCCACAGAAATGGTTACTAGTTAACATCTCTGCATTCTTACTTTACCATCTGTAGTTCTGTTTGCATCCTCCCAGGTATTCGCTAGTTGAGCAAAGTAGCTTGGGGCAAAATTGTCTTATTTATACATTCGTGTTTCAACTTCCACTTTTCTAACATGATGGTTTACCTGAATCGATTTTCACCTCAGGGTTTCTGAGTTTTCTTGGCCATGTCCGTACCGAGATTTCGAAACTCGTGTTTTTGGATGCTGATACTGGATATCTTGAAGTGAAAAGCTGTTGCAGGAATTATTGATAATATAGACAAGTATCGTTCAGTGTCGGAGGACCGCTTATAAAGCAGTAAAACTCGTTTTGAGCGCAGAATATTTTAACAATATACCTTGGCTGTATTGTTGCTTATGATGGAAAGGGCATTTTTGTATGCTAATTTACAATCTTATAAGTTTGTCAGTTCCTAAATGAAGGTGTATAAAGTTCTTAAACAAGAGAACGTAAGCGTTATGAAAACAAATTATGCAATGTAAGTGATTGAGGGGTTTGTATTCCGCTCATTTTTACAGAAAGGTTTCTGATAATGGTTGATACATTATATTATTATTATTATCCCATCTCTTCACCACTTTATAGGGTATGTACTTCTATGTATCCGAGACATTATTATTTTTATTATTATTATTATTATTATGTTGCACAATTGCGTAGAATATGTTTAATAATATCTGCGATACGTTTCTATATGATCTATTGATTAGCGTAGGAGATTGAAATGCAGTGGATTTGCACTTCGACATATATCGCACTCAGGAACATCGAAAATAAAAATAAGGGTTAGTATAATGACAGCCATCACGTGAACACAAATGAAGCCAACTCTCAAAACTTCTTGGTTTATATAAAAATATGCCTCAGATAATGGGGAGCCCCGAAAATAATTTTCTTGCATTGCAGTTAATTGCATACAATTTATACGTGACTAAAACGGCACGTCATTCCAGAATGCAGTTATATTTTTACTTGCCGCCATGAGAACCTGAAGTCTCGCAATAGGTCCTGTTTGTTTTTAAGATATTTTCTCTTTGACATTTTAAGTTTGGCGTATACGTAACGAACTTCGAACAAAAGAAATGCATTATTGTATTCACAATTGTCAGTGCTGTGATTAACTTAGTAATAATAAATTTATAAACAACGCATTGGAGCAGAGTTCTTCTTGAGTAGCTATTAGTTGCTTAGTTAATCCAGACATTTTCGTCCTTGTATGGAACCTGAACGTTCATTGTCATATTCACAAGAGCCATATGAATCCAATCCACATGACTATACAGTATTCCTTCAAAGTACATTTTAATATTGTTCTTCCGTTTACTCATGCGTCTCCCATTGGTATCTTCCCTTCAGGCTTTCTGATATGAACACTAGATTTTTGTCAGGAGTAATAGATCATATAAATAAACTGAAATCACTACCAATGAGATATGCGAAGTGTCGCAAAAATCATTTCGGAAATATATACAATTCGTCCATTCGCTGTGTGCTGTTAATTTCTCTTACCCTACTTTTACAACACGCTTAATATGTATTATATTGCATTACAATACCAGTTAATACCGGTATGCAATGCATATTTTGTTCTGAATTAATTAAAATACATTTGTTCGTCATATTTCATATTGTAATTTACTGCCTGCGTATTAAACCTGATAGGATATCATTTAAAACACAAATGATTATTGTTTTACAGATTTCGCCAAATTTTACATTACATCGTTGACTACTTAAAAACTATTAGTCTTTATATTCCTTACGCCATTTTTACAATATAAATACCATTTGTAGGGTTCTTTTGTGTTTCTATAATTGGGTTACGCAACTTTCGGTATACATACAAAGGGATTCTGTAGAGCAATTTCTGCGTTCAGCGGGTGGCTGGTTCAGGTATAAGCTCATTTGATATTTTTGCATTCAAATTGAATTAACTACGCAAACCTTTTCCATTATCGTAGCCTATTAATGATTTTAATTTTACAAATGGAAACAAGATTTGTTTATATTCGGTGATAATGTTAGGGGATGCAGAATACCAGAATCAAAGATTCAGACGCTGCTATTTACTGTGTAACGATGTCCTTTAAGGGCAGCTGAAGAAGGGGGTTATGTTTCTTCGAAGGCTTACCAGGGTACACGACATCACAATCCATAAAACACCACAATAGAAATTAAGTTCACGTGAGAAATTTTAGTGTAAAACCACAGTACCAAATTCCATTGAAATTCAAAGGACAATCATGTGTAATCTCCCTGTTACTCTTTTATTTGATGTACCACAAATAATGCATAAAACTTGAAACATAGTTAATATTTCCTTCTTAAATGCCAGAATGGTTTTATATGTGAGAGATTTTGATAATAATTACCTTCTGGCACTGCGGGCTGTATGATAGGGGTTCGATCCCCGACAGAGACACAGGATTTTTCCTCTAGCCTCTGCGTCCAGACCGGCTCTGGGGCCCACCCAGCCTCCTCTACAATGGGTACCGGGGTCCTTTCCCGGGGGTAAACCACGGCCGGGGCGTGAAGCTAACCACTCACCCCCATCTAGTGCCGAGGTTGAGAGTGAGTCGGAGCTGTACAACCTCTCCCCTGTGCTCCTACATGGCGCGTAACGGGATGACTTAAGTTGTATTTACCTTCCGGCAAGAAACTTGTAATCGCAAATGAAAATAGTTCATTTTGGAAGCACATTACATTTATGGACTGGATAAAGGCTTTGGACACTCTTAAGCGACATTTATTATTGTTAAATATTGCCTGGTAATAGGAAGTATAAAATTAAGTAATACTGCTGAGCGAACGGGATAAAAATATTATTATATAGTTTCCAGTGACTTTAAAATGAAATTTGATACTTTGTATAAACAGTTTATTCCGTGAGGCTGCCATTTTGTTTTTGAACATGCTTTCATTACAAATAGGTTTCATTAGAATACAAATATGGACGTCATCAGTATTCATTAGCAAATTACGAACACGAAAACAATTTTACTATTGCCTGTTTCTCAGTTGATTTTTAACAACATGATTTGCGGTTGAAAGGGATAATTAGTTTTGTTTCCTGTTCTCATTTCTCCTTTCAATTATTTGTTTTGAAACTGGCAGCGGGACTCATTCTAGTAGCATTTTAAAATAATGACATGTTTGGTATTCTTCTATGTGCATGTAATATCATGAGTCATTTTATTTCGGTCTTAGAGGAGGAAGTAATGCGAGAATGCAGAAAATTGCTTAATGAGGAACTTTATAATTTGTAATCTTTTCTTGGGCCTGTTGTTGTTATGGTGCTCGCAACAAGCAATGTTGTTGCTTTTCTGCTTTGGGTCCACTTAATCTGCGCATACCCAAGGACTATACATACTTTACTGTAACATCGTAATTTCAAGGTCAGTCCAACAGCACGTTATGTTTTTGCACTCAATGCAATCTGAAGGAGCATTGCCTAACGTCTTAAATAATGTTTGTATTTTGCTTAGTCAGATTTTTAAATCAAATTAATTTTTCACTTTTTTGTATTTCC